ATAAAATCTTTAAAAAAAAAAAAAAGATCCTTACCTTAATCTCATCTGCCAAGTCCCTTTGCCAAGTAAGGTCACATAGTCATGGGTTCTGAGCAATGGGCTGCGGACGTTGTTGGGGGACCATTTTTGGCTGACTGCAGCTACATTTAATATAAGGATTATTACTTGATGCTGCTGCTGTTCTGACCACTCCAGGAGCTGTCTTTAGTGAGCACTCCAAGCTCTCCCAGATCCCTTCCTGGGTTGGAGGCAACAGTTCGAGACTTGTCCCCCAGCAGATGCACATGGTGTCACCCTGCATCTGTGCTCAGGGAGCACAGAAAGTACCTGACGTGAAGGTGATTCTTGTGACAAACATAAGGGCCTAACCAATTCCAGCAGAAAAACAGTGTCACGACCTTGAACTTCTAGTAGAACTCTCTGAAGAGACTGCCCCCAAAGCAAACCAGGTCATAACAGCTCTGGCTTGGTTTTAAAACTTTTGAATGATTCAAACAAGGAAAACCAAGTTAACTGTAAGGATGCTTATTTTTTTTTTTTTTAAGATTTATTTGAGAGAGAAAGAGAGAGCGAGAGCGCGCGAGTGGTGTGTGAGCAGTGGGAGGGGCAGAGGGAGAGAATCCCCAAGCAGACTCCCCACTGAGCACGGAACTGTGGGGCTTGATCCCACAACCCGTGAGATCATGACCTGGGCCGAAACCAAGAGTCAGACGTTCAACTGACTGAGCCACCCAGGTGCCCTTGTAAGGATGCTTATGATCGGCAGGTACAGCCTGTCCACAGCTGTCCAGATAAACATACAACTTAAAAATGGAAAACACAAAAGGGTGGATGTAGAACTGACTAAGGGCTCCCACCAGGCACCAGAGCCCGCAGAGATCGGGTGAACAAGTTTTTAGTAAAATGGAAGCATTTTCTTTGACGGTTTCAAAAATGGAGCCAGACCTCATTGGGTGCGAGTGACCAGGAGTGTGGTCCAAGTCGGTGAGCAGAGAGTGAGAAGAGAGAGCAGGGGAGGCAAGGATGGGGTGGGCAGGTCTTGAGGGGCTTCAGAATCCTGCAGAAAGCCCAAATGGCTCATTAATGAAAAGCTTTAGTGGATTTAAGAGGCAGCTTGCTCAGTTAAGTCAATTTGTGCTCAAGTGGGACAGGTCAAGGCAAAAGAACTGAGCAGCTGTCTGACCTCTGTTCTCTGCAAATCCATTTTCCATCTTCCCTGCTCTCCTGCCACACATCCTGTGAACAATCCAAGTGAAGACCACAGTTCAGAACAGCACTCTGAAACCTGATGTCAACTTACTACAACGGACTCTGCATACAGAGTCCAAATTTCACACGTGCTTCGTGATTTATTCCACCTTTCAGAGGGGAAGGAGGACACTTTTACCGTGCATAAGCCCGTCACCCTCTGTCCAATGCCTTTCTGGCTCGTTCCATCTCAGACACACAGGAGAACCACTAAAGGCACCAGGCCCTACCTGTTCATTCCCAGTTCAGCTCTGCACAAAGAAACCAGCTTCTCCCCACAAACTTGCCAGCATTTGCATGTGTGACACTATACGTTTTCCAAAGCACTGTTACCTACCTCCTGTGACTACGCCATCACCACAAAGCCGGTAAGAAAGACCTGATAAGAGCCATTCTGAGGAGGGCATCACTCCCACACTTGCCACTTAAAAGCTGAGGGTGTCTGTAAGCCTTGCTGTCTGCAGCAACAAGCAGGCCGTGGGAGCCTGAGAGGGCTTGCTAGATTCACTGAGAAGAAAAGCTCCTTCTCAAGTGGGATGCTGGTTTTTCTATGGAACGGGAAGGAGCTGGAGCCATGAAAGTAAATGGGGGTAAATGGGATGGGGAGAGGGTGAAATTCAGTGGGGAGAACCGAAAAGAGGACCGGAGCAGCTGTCTCCCTCTTCCAGGCTAGCACGTCAATGTTCTGGAGATAACACGGGGCAGAATAAGTAGGGGGCTTAGGAAAGAGCTAGAGGACAGTAGCCCATGCAAATGAGCACAGAGAAGGCACACATGGAGGCAGCAGAAAGAATTCTGGGCCGAAATCAAGGTGATGAGACCAACCGGCAACTAAGAAAGTCATCTCAGCCGAATGTAATCAAAAGCTGCTCCACAGAACCAGGAAATCAACGAGGGGAAAAGGACAAAAAGGGATTACAGAAACAGCAGATCTATGCTAATTTTCCTGCTAACATTTTATGGGTTTTTGCTATTAGAAATAATTCCGTCACTACCTACGTCACTACCTACGGTTATTAGGATAAATAACAGGCATAAGTACTTAAAAAACAAAACAAAACAAAAAGCACCCAGAAATGCAAGGATTTTTTTTTTAAATGGAAAATGATAATGAAAAGCTTTTCAAAGGAATCTGGTGCTGCCCTTTGATGGACTGCATATCAAGCCAGTCTTTCCCACTTACTAAAAATAACTACAATATGAAACTCCCTGAATAGAAAAAAACCACGAGAATAAAGCCTCATTTATATAGTTTCATGGATTTAGAAGCCTTAGTAAAATCACATCTACCATAGCTGATATTTTGATAAACTATGGCCGATATGCTGAGACCATTGCCTTCAGGTTATAAAGTTGCTAAGTCAAAAGCTGAATGGCACAAACATAAATACCTTAAATGTAATAAAAAATTTTCAGATGCGGGCGCCTGGGTGGCTCAGTAGGTTAAGTATCCAACTCTTCATCCCAGCTCAGGTCTTGATCTCAGGGTTGTGAGTTCAAGCCCTGAGTTGGGCTCCACGCTGGGTGTGGAGCCTACTTTAAAAAAAAAAAAAAAAAAAGTTGCACAGAGTCTAGTTTAGACTTAATTCTGCAGGATGGGAGCCTCAAACACTGATGGGCATGTCCGGGGAAGTGCTGCAAGCTGAGAGTGAGGGCAGAGTGCAGTGATACAGGGGAGCAAGACCAAAACAGGGCCTCATGCAGTGCCCCTCTCCCTCTTAACAGGCTGATGGCAGTGGGCCATTTTAAGAGTCAAGGTCTCTTCTGGGCATCTTCCCTCCCTAGTAAGTGGTTTGGGAGGCAGCTCTGCTCCAGCGCAGTTGTTTATAGTTCTTATGTTTAATTCCCTCAAGTATTGCATTTATATCTTTTAATAGTAACATAACACTTTAATTCTGTAAAAATTACTTAAGAATGAGAAGTGCTAATAATACTTCGACAATTCCAACTGAGGTTCAAGTTTGTCTTTAAGATGCTTAGATATTTCTTATAGAATTTTAAATGGATTTAATGCAACACATCTCTCCCCTCTGGCTATTCCTCAGCTAGCCCGCCCGACTCTCTTCTTCATCCACCCCATAGAAGCAACAGTTCTCAGGCTTCTGTCCATAGCTCCCTCCTCATCCCACATGCTGCCCTGCCAATATGGCCTGCTCTCACAGCTTCAACAGTCATTGAGAAGCTACCGGTTCTCAATCTACGTCTCCAGTCCATCCATCTTCTCAACTCCAGACCATCTTCTCAACTCCAGACCCACTTTTCTTTTTTTTTTAAAGATTTTATTTATTTATTTGACAGAGAGAGACACAGCGTGAGAGGGAACACAAGCAGGGGGAGTGGGAGAGGGAGAAGCAGGCTTCCCGCCGAGCAGGGAGCCCGATGCTGGGCTCGATCCCAGGACCCTGGGATCATGACCTGAGCCGAAGGCAGACGCTCAACAACTGAGCCACCCAGGTGCCCCCAGACCCACTTTTCAACGTTCAACACTAGTTCATCTTCATTTTCCCTCAATAAATGGTACCACTGTTGTCCAATGCATAAATCAGACACCGAGGTGTCTCCCTTGTTTCCTTCTCCCTCTGTCCACATATGATTAATCACTGAGTCTTGTGGATTCTTCCTCCTGGTTCTCTCTCTCCTCTGCATCCACACTGCACTCAGTGTAGGCCACCTCTCTGCCTCTGGTCTTGTATGCACTCTGTCTCCTTGCTGCAGGCTGGGGCGATCACTGAGACACAAATCCAACTGTGCGACTCTCCTCCAGTGGCTTCCCTTTGTCCTCATGATGGTGCCCCAACTTCTTTGTGTGATCTGCAAGTTGCTGTATGATGAAATCTGTCCACTGATCACCTCTCTACCCCTGGTCCCTTTACACTCTAGCCCCCCCTCCCCCATTTCCTTCTGGTCTTTGCACACACTGGTCCCTTTGCCTTGAATGCTCCCCCTTCACCTCCCCCCTACCCCCCCCCCACGCCCCCCATTACTATGGCTGGCCCACTGTGTCACTCCTTGCATGCCCACTTCTCCAGGCTGCCTGCCCTCCCCCACTCTGGAAGCCTGGGTTAGCTACGGACCTCTCACCATTTTGCTTAAGCCCACATATAGCATTTATTCTTTGGTATTGTACTTTCTGCTTCCTGCAAGGTCAAGTGCTAAGCAGGTGTTGTGATCCACAGCCAAGCCCTCCCCCAGCACAGACCTGGCACACTGTTGGAAAACTGAAAAATCCTGCATTAATGCTCCTGGTAAATCGAGTTCCCTGCAAGTGATTGCACTTCACATATCCAATCACCCTGCAATTCCCCTGAGAACAGAATAATTAAGGCAGAAGGATGAAAAGACCTGCATTAAAACATACACATGCACACCCCAGTGATTTGGTACTGACAGCACATTTCTTCAAGAGCTAAAATGACTGATTTTCTAAATATCTACATCCTACCCATGTCCTCTCCAGAGATGATATGATGAAAATCATAAAATGGCTCAGTTTAACAGGCACTCAAAGATGTGCCCAGTAACCTTAGGGCAGGACCGTTTGCTCAGGGGTACTTCCTGCTTACATGGGCGTCATAATTAGGTGAATTGTGAAACGGGTTCATTTTGCTTGGTGTGAAATACAGACAAAGGATCTCTACCTACACCTCAAACTTACTACTTTTTCTATGAACTAAGTAACCTTTTTTTAGGATTATACTTAAGTGAAAAGTGAACAGTATCTCAACTCAGGTACTGAGACAGCTCTGAGGTTACAGGTTATGTTCCCCTGAGGCTTTAACAACTCGGTGGAACTTACAAGTGGTCTTTTTTCCTCCACTGATCAACACCCAGAAGCCACTGCCTAGAGCTCAGTCACCAGCCAGCGGATCTGTACGCTAAAGCTCTCCCCTGCCGCGCTGCAATAAAGCAGCGGTGCCAATAGCCACCTCAGAGCGTGGCTACAAGGTCTTTCTAATGTCACAGGGAGTCCTTCGAGTCTGAAACCCTGGGTGCATGCTAGGGGGAGCCTGGCTGGCTCAGTCAGTGGAGCGCGCGACTTGATCTCGAGGTGCTGAGTTCGAGCCGCACGACGGGCAGAGAGCTTACTTAAATATGGGGCGCAGTGTAGCTAAGACATTAGTGGGGACGGGGCCATTCTCCTTCCGCAGCGCTCACGCACATTCAAGGGGACGAGCGCCCGCCAAGTCAACGCTACCCTCCTCAACGTGTCTCGACTCTGGGGCTGCGGAGTACTAAGGTCCCCAGAACCACAGCGTCTACACTCGCGGCAGACAAGGTACGTGCTCGGTGACGGTGCGCGGGAACCAAGCTCCAGCGTCTAAGTCCCAACACATCCAGATCCCCGACAGAAACGCTGCGGAGCCACGGCCCCCGTTAGCGGCGGCTTGTTTCTAAAAAGCCTACGGGTTTGAGGAAGTGAACGTGACTCGCCACCTAACGCGTCCCTAAGAGCACCCGCCACGGCTGCTGCACCCCGTGCGCCCGCGGGGTACCAGGTCCCTCGTCACGGCGACCGCGGGGGGGGGGGCGCGTCCAGCTGGGACCGCCCGGAAGCCGATTTCCTCACCCGCAGACTCCGAGGGGAGGGGAGGCCGTCCTTCCCGCGCTTACCAGGGTAAGGGCCACCTCCAGCATGGGGGCGAGGGCCAGGGTGCCGTGGAAAAGGGGGATACAGTCCACGAAGAGGGTGTGGTGGGCGCCCGGGCCGCCCAGGGGCAGGTGCTCCTTGCGCGGCTTCTGCTTCTCGGCCACCAGCAGTCCGTTGACGGCGCAGTGGGGGTACTTGGCGCCGTGCAGCACCATCTTGCAGTAAGCCTGGGTGGTCAGCTTCACCCCGGGCATGCTGAGCCCCGCAGGGCCCCGGAGGCCCTGGCGCCGGCTGAGGCCTGGATCCCCGCCCGGCCGCGCGGCGCCTCAGCGGAGAAGCGGGACGAGGCGACGGCTGCCCGGCGCGGCCCTGCGGCCGGTGGAGGCCCACAGAGGCCCGGCCCGGCTACGGGATGGGCTCCTCACACACCGACTCCCGTTTGGGAGAAGCCCACGCGCCCGCCTCACTCTCCACTCGCGCCTCTGGCTGGGCGCCGCCGTAAAGCGGTCTCTCGGCGCCGCCGTAAAGCGGTCCGGTTCGGCCTTTTACGACGCTCGCGGCGCTTCCCTGCTTCCGTTTGGGTGACCTCCGGCGCGGCCGGGTCCTCCTCGATCCCGTGGTGCTTCGCGTGCGCCCTCAGTCTCTTCCGGTCGCGGGAAGCCGGGGCACAGAGGGCGGTCGCGGCGGTCGCGGCGGGCAGCGGCGGGCGGCAGCGGCAGGTGAGCGGGCAGCGGGCTGCAGGCGGCCCTCGCCGCGGGGCCGGGGAGGGCCAGGAACCCGGAGGTAGCGGGCGAGTGTGCCCGCGGCTCCGCGCCCGGCGCCAGGAGGGAGCGGTGGTTGGGCCTCGGAGTCCGGTGACATTGAGACCGGCCGGCGGGGGCTCGGGGCTCGGAGTCCGCCGGGTCGCGGCCTGTGTGCCGCCTCGCAGCATCCGGCCCGGCTCCATCTGCGCCGCCATGGCCGCGAGCTGGGTTCGAGCTCTGACCTTGGAGCGCCCGCTGGCCGAGGGCGGGGCCCGGGGTCCGCGCTGCAGCCTGGGCCCTCAGCCCTCCAGCCACGGTTGAGCGACCGTCCCCGGTTTAACGGGGCTGGGAGAGGCGCTCCGCCTTCCATCCCAGGAGCCGCCCAGCGTCCGCCCACGCGCGAGCCAGGCCCGGGGAGAGAAGATGCGGGGTGCGAGCTAGTTCAGCCCTGACGTCATGCTTCTGTTTATTCTGTCTCAAAGGGGGTATTTTCCTAATGCGTTAGGAGTCCCTTTCGTCGTCAACAGTCCCCTGAAAGGGCCAGTTTTAAAGCAGGGGGAGCTAGGGGAAAAGGGCCCGAAGCTGGAAGGGCCCAGGTGAGAGGTGGGTCATCCAGGTCATCCGTTGTCTGCAGGGACTGGAAGTGGACCAGGCCGTATTTGCAGCCTTTCTGCCTGCCTTTCCCTTCCTATCCTACGCACCTATTAGGTTTTTAATCAAATACTCAGTTGCGTGCAGTGCATGCCGGTCCCTTTGAGCTGTTTATTCTTTTCCGCCAAACAATGGAGCCTATCATGGCAGCTCAGCGCTGTAGGGTTTCTAGCTTTTTCAGTCTTAGGAAAACTGCTTCTCCTTGTTTTTTAAGAAAGCCAGTTTTTTACTAATTTCCTGTAGTGTGTATATGTTATGGTATTTGGTTTATAATGAAGCTCCATAAAAACGTGTTGACTGCTATGAAAAACCTCATCTTAGGTTATTTTGTGAATTAGAGTCAGTAAGGAAGAACGGATCATCTATGCTGAGGGGAAGAAAACAAAAAAAGTAAAATGCACCGGAATTCCTAATAGGTGTTTGCCCTCATTCATGGAGAGGGTGTACGTTTTTATCTTTCAGAATGTTGGCTACCAGAGTGTTTAGCCTAATTGGCAAGCGAGCAGTTTCCACCTCAGTGTGTGTACGAGCACATGGTAAGTGTAACTTTTCTTTTAAATGGGCTGAGCTAATTTCTTTTTGCTCCCACTACGTGTAAGCCCTTGTCCTGGAGTTTCAAACACAGATGGCCTAAAGTGGCTGAGATCCTGATTTGGCTGTTGTGGGACTTTTGGGGGGGTAAAAATATTTTAACAGGGCATGCTTCTAGATTACAGAATATTTATGAATCATATTGAATACCAGTCTGGATCTTTGTTTATGCTATTTCTTTTCCCCCCTTTTCCTTCCCTTCCCCCTTTTTTCAGGTTCAAGTTCCACCCCTTTCAAGAGATCTCCACCATACTTGACTTTAATGATTTCCTCTCTCCCCGCAAAAAAACACCCAGCCAATATTCTTGAATACCATTTACATTATTGGGGTAAGGGAAGGGAAGGAGCTTGGACTTCCTAGCCTGAGCAGAGTTTAATCTCATTTCTGTCTTGGACGAGGCTACTTACGTGCAGGAATCTGTTTTCTCATCTGAAATATTTATAAAGAGCTTAGTTCAGTGCCTGGCACATAGCAAGTTTAGTTTTGCATTTATTGCGCATCTTTGTACCAAATATTGTTAGGCATTGAGAATAAAAAGAATACAAGATGGAATCTTTCCACAGGACTTTTGCAATCAGGAGAGGGACAGATACATAAAGGCAGTGTTTGAGTAAGTGACAGCCCCTGAGGAGAAGCATTTAGCCTGGCCTAGGGTTCAGGAATGGTTTCTGACGGAGAGGCTTCACTGTGCTGAAGGACTAGTAAGTTTAACCTCATAGGGTTTTTCTTTTTCTTTCTTTCTTTTTTTTTTTTGTAAGATTTTATTTATTTATTTGAGAGAGAGAGCGCACACGCATGCACACAAGTAGGGGAGGAGGCAGAGGGAGAAGCAGATTCCCTGCTGAGCAAGGAGCCCGATGCGGGGCTCGATCCCAGCACACTGGGATCATGACCTGAGCCGAAGGCAGATGCTTCACTGACTGAGCCACCCAGGTGCCTCTAACCTCATAGGTTTAACTTCATATTCAGACGGCTATGGCAAAAATGCAAATTTGTGTGGCAGGTTGTGTTAGTGAGGGGTCAGGTGTAAGGCTTGAGTAGTGATAATGAACTTGGAGAGCAAGGTTTATGTATCTTGGGGCTCAGTAATCAGTAACTGCTTTCTGTGTGAATTTTTCCTTGAAATTGTGTCCTTGAGTTGCTAATACTGTTGTCTTACATTTCCCTCTATTCCTTACATTGCCCAGGATAACACGTGGACACAGATAATTTTATTTATTTTATTAAGATTTTACTTACTTTATTTTGAGAGATAGCGAGTTAGCGAGAGAGAGAAGCAGACTCCCTGCTGATCAGAGAACCCGACGCGGGGCTCCATCCCAGGACCCTGGGATCATGACCTGAGCCGAAGGCAGACGCTCAACGACTGAGCCACCCAGGCGCCTGACACAGATCATTTATTAGTAAGAGTATCATTGAGATAATTTGTTATTTAAATGAGTAAGTAATCAAAGTTTGTTGTTTAACTAGTACATATGGAAAGAAACACTCCTTCATTAAAAGCTTAGGAAGTCATTTATGACAGATTATATTTTGCTTCTATTTTGGCTTTGCGTATATATTTTCTTAGCTTTTTTGTTTGTTTAGTTTGAGGTGCAGTTTGCGGAAAGTAAAATGTATTCTTTCTAGGTGTCATGTTCTGTGGATTTTGATAAGCTCCCATGGTTGTGTAACAGAGTGACACCAGTCAAGACCTACAACATCTCCATCACCCCCCCCACAGAGTTCCTTTGTGTCCCTTCGGTCATTCTGGTTTTTTATAAGAAGCCAACTCCTTTTGGGGTGCCTGGGTGGCTCAGTCGTTGAGCGTCTGCCTTCGGCTCAGGTCATGATCCCAGTGTGCTGGGATCGAGCCCCGCATCAGGCTCCCTGCTCCGCGGGGAGCCTGCTTCTCCCTCTCCCACTCCCCCTGTTTGTGTTCCCTCTCTCGCTGTCTCTATCAAAAAAATAAATAAAATCTTTAAAAAAGAAGAAAGCCAACTTCTTTCTCCTTATGGTGGCATCGGCCATAACCTAGTCTTAGGTATTGTTTTGGCAGAGGAAATTAAAATAGTTCCTTTTTGAAATCCTTGAGTGGCTTCTCGTGCCTAGGGTAAGATCTGCAGCTAGCCTGTCTGATGTCATCTCGCTGTATTCCAGCAAGCAAACGACATAGGCAGACCAGCCCCCCCGGGTTGCTCAGCATCCCAACCCCCAGCGGTATGGTTCCTTGCAGGCAGCAGGCTGCTGTGCCTCAGCGCCGGGCTGTGGGTGGGAGCTTTCTCCTACTCGTCAGCCTCAATGCAGCCGTTACTTCAGGACAGCCTTTCCTCGCCACCCACTGTGAAGATGCTGCCTGTCCTGCATCACCCTGCTTTGTCATTGCTTGGAGCGGTGACGTACTGCGGTTTGTTTGCATTGCTGCCTTTGCTTCTGGAATGCAAGCTCTGTGGGGCTGACGTCCTGCCTCCTCCATTCCCGTGTCTTCACACTGTAGGCTGATGGCCACCACCACAGTCCGCTGAACAAGTCTTGTTTTTAGCTTTTAGTCATGCAGGTCGTACCTGAATACACAGACCGGTTCCACACAGAATACACCACGGAGCACCACTGGCGGCCACCACTGAGTTGGGATGCTTGTGTGGTGACACGTCCGACTGAGGGGGCAGCTCCCGTTCCCCGGACCTCAGCAGAGGCTCCGTGAGAAACCCAGCTGCGGACACAGATGACGAGATGCTCACTTGAATGCGAAAGTCTCTTCTCTCTCTTCCTCTCTCCCTTTAAAAGGAACGCTTGGTCTGCTAGTCTTTGCGGGGTGTGGAGGACCAGGCTCAAAGTGCTGAAGAGCCCTGGCAGCCCTGAGACCGCAGATTGGCCAGTCTCGTAGAACATGCAGTTTTATGCTGAGGGTGCTCCAAGGTTCTGAGCATTTGCATTTTTATAACTTTAGATGTAATTCACACAGCAGACACTTACCCATTGAAAGTGTGCACTTGAGTGGTTTTCACTTTAGTCCCTGAGTTGTGTCCTAACCACCACAGTCAGATTTAGAATGTTCTCATTACTCCAGTTTGCCTCTGTTTTTAGTGATTAACATGCGAGCTGAGTGCTGGTGTACAGCTATTCTTTTCAGTCCACTCATTTTGATAGACTTTAGAATTTAAAATTGGAAAGTAATTCTGGTCATTTCCACCTTAAATTTTTTGGGGATAAGCTTGAGTATATGTAAGTATGCTGGTCATTTACATGGTAAAGGTAAGCATCTAGAGAAATTCTACTTTGAGGTGAAATGATCTTTTACTTTTATTAACATGATTTGGGAGAATTTAATCGTTGGTACTAAGCTAATAGAAGTGAAATGTTTCTGCAGGACTGTGTACTTGTCCAGACCAGTTTGGATCACAAAATTTTCTTGCAGATGTATGATAGAATTGAAAAAGCAGCTTTCAGTAGCTTTATTTAGGGAAACCCCTAAATAAAAATAAAGCTATTCCTTTCTTTTCTGCTTTCTGAACTGTTTTCCTCTTTACTTGAGTAATACCCAAATA